GCGTGCGTATGTGCTTGCGTATGTGCTTGCGTACGTGACTGTTCATGTGCCTGCATGTGATTTTGTGTATGTCCATGCTGCATACTAGTGTGAGTGGGAGGAAGAAGGGGAATGTGTGAGGGGAAGGAGGGGGAATGTATGAGGGGAAGGGAGGGGGAGTGTGTGAGGGGAAGCGAGGGGGAGTGTGTGAGAGGAAGGGAGGGAGTGTGTGAGGGGAAGGTGGAAAGGGAATGTGTAAGGTGGAGGAGGAGAGGGATTGTGTGAGGGGGAGGCGGAGGATGAGTGTGTGAGTGGGAGGAAGAAGGGGAATGTGTGAGGGGAAGGGAGGGGGAGTGTGTGAGGAGAAGGGAGAGGGAGTGTGTGAGAGGAAGGGAGGGGGAGTGTGTGAGTGGGAAAAGAGGGTAAGGACGAGGTGAGTTTTAAACTCCAGGGCGATTACTGGTGGAAGGCACACGATCATGATCTGTTGTGGCGACCAAAGCGAATTTCGCATTGTCATCGTATGTTTTAGATCCGCTGGTACAAATCGACACGGACGATGCGAGACACATTCTCTACACGCGTTCAGAGAAGGGAACGATACAGGTAGCTAGCCTACGTGACCTAAATTAATTGTGCTTGCTATCTGTCCTTCATAAAAGAGGCATGGCACACAGTACACGTAACGCTTCCTGCTTACGGTTTATAATGTAAAAGTAACATGCTAAGTGACTTGAGAAAAATGTATCCTACAAAAGTTCCTACACGTTTAGCACTACTGTCAGTTCTTCTATTATGCGACTAATTTTGTGTAACCTTGCTAACTTTATAGCTCAGGAATAAGATATTAATTTTGAAAAAAACCAACTTCAATTAAAATTCATGTTTTTTGAACCAACCTTGTAAGATTCTGTGTGATTGTAGAGCGGCTTGTATTTTTCTTGCTTTGCGTGTGCAGGTGTTTGACCTGGGCAGGGATGGCCTGGGAATGACCAAGGTGGCTTCTCTCACGCAGCAGTCGATTCTCTACAACGCATCGCTCATCGCAAGGTGAGAGCGCGACGTGCGTGGGTGCATGCATGTGTATGTGCGTGAGTGTGTGTGTTCGTGCGTGCTCGTGTATGTGTGTTTGTGTACATAAGTTTCTGTGTGTGCATTTAGGCTTGCGTGCAGGCATATATGTTAGTGCGTGTGTATGTTAATGTGCATGTGCGCGCGTGCGTGTGTGTGCGTGCGTGTGTGTGCGTGCGTATGTGCTTGCGTATGTGACTGTTCATGTGCCTGCATGTGATTTTGTGTATGTCCATGTTGCATACAAATTCGGAGTCTATTGATATCAAAAATCTCTTCAGCAATAATCAGCAATTGCTTACACTGTTTCCCCTTGCAGAACGATAGACAAGTCAAACTTCAAGCCTATAGTACACATTGCAGCATTGAAAGGCAGTGAGTCAGCCAACCTTTATCTGCTGGCAATCACACACACAGGTATACCCCCACCCACTGCTCGGAGACACCAGCATTGAAAATAACTTGTTTGCAATAAAAATATATATA